TCCAGCGCACACAACACCCTCATTAGCTTCTCTGATGGATAGTATAGTCCTCCCCTGTCCCAGTGCCCAAGGAAGGAATTACAAGGAGCCATAAAAGCCTGCTTAATGACCAATAGGAAGTACAACTCGCGAGTCCGAGTTGCACATAGGCACACAACAGTAAGGTATCATGCGAGTTAGAATGCAGCACAAGGTGTCAGGACTAAGCACAAGGTGCTGATGTACCCACGATCAATAAATGAAATGAAATGACCGCGCGTGTACGTGTGGCGTCGCGGTGTGCGTGCCACGAGCCGCAGACAGCCTCGTGCTATTGAGCTATGCCGGCAATTGCTAAGCGCTCTATCTGCCGGCCGAACGACGACCGAAAGCAGTTACTCGTGTCAAAAAAAAAATTACGTGATCAAGTCACCTATTTGATCACGCAAGGTCACGTTACAGCGTAACTTAACATAGGAAACTTACATTATCACGTAGCTTAACGGATAACGTAGCTTACGCTAGCTACAGTGAACTGTAGCCGCAGGCAGCGGACAAGCGTCGTCTGCATTTCTGTATGGGGTTTTGGCGCCCCTAGTAGCAAATCTGTGAAGTAAGCACGACGACGACAAAGAAACAATTGGGCAGGCACTATGGCGAATTCCACTGGTACGGTTTTGGAGCGCGCCGGGATCGACTTTTCTGGAGCGAGCCTATTTCACCGGGCGATCGGGATCGAGACGGACGTGTTCCACTGGTCGTTTTGGATTAGCTCCCGCTCCAGACCTCGATCTAGATCCGAGAAAAGTCGCTCCGACGATTTCGGCAGATTCAACCGGAAGCCAGCCGGGCCAGCCCTCGGCGCACACACGTGACTTCCTTTCTCGCGGGGCATCTCGCCTCATCTCGCCCATCTCGCCTCAGAGTTCGTAATGGCCGCTTGGTTACCCCCTTGGCTCGACCTAGCTCGACAGCCGGTTCGTTTTCCAGGAAGGAGAAGAGAAGGTTTTGCCGCGCTACGGGCATTTCGGCAACCTTTGCTAGAAGCTCCTGAGCTATTCCTGCCGCTCGTGCGTCGAACACGTGTTAGCGCCGCGATTGCGAAAACGTCTTCGAAACGACCGCGGCGGCCGCGGAAAGGGGATTCCCGAGCAGTTGAATGACGGGAAGGCATCCGCCGATCCCGGAGCAGTGGTCATGTTTCACTGGGGATCCGTAGGTGGCGTGACTCCGTTCGGATCATGTGCTCCATTCCGGATCTGGTCAACTGATCCCGGCGCGCTCCAAAACGCCCACTGGAATTCGCCATTAGAGGAGGGAGGCGAATAGACCGATCTCACCGGCCAGCCTGACTACGCCACCGCTGCCGCAATGCATCGCGGGATCTTTAGTCTTTTTGCAAGTGCGACAACATCACTGGAGTTGTGCGCGTGTAGAGCACGAGACGGCACGAGCCCTAACTTGCACGGCCGTCTGCCTCCTGCTGAACTAAAGTTATGGCGGCGTCACGCATGCACCGAACATTTAATGAGATCGGTCTATTGCAACCTTCAGTGTAGTACTTTGACACCCCAAAACTACATTTCGACGTTCAGTCCACTGAAGTCGAACTAACGATACCAAGTTTTACGAGCGGCTTGATAGCTGTGTGATATAACTTACTAAATAAATACTGTATGTATCAAAAACAAAAGAAAAAAACCAAAAAATGGAGGATTTGTAGCGTGGTTACCAAAACCTTCAGTGTTTTCCTGTAGACTAGAATGCGTACATTGGCTATTTTAATAAGTTGTATACCACTCGGCTATCAAGCCGCACGTGAAAGTTGCTATCGTCGGTTCGACATCAGTGAACTGGACGTCGAATTATAGGTTTGGGGGTGTTATATATGTTTAAAGGAGAGTAAGAACTACACCCACTGTTTCTGAGAGTGTAGACCAGAAAGCGAAATAAATTAAGTTGAATTCCGAACCAGCACACTACTGGAGTCAATGTAAAGCACAAAGTATCCCGCAGTTAAGTTCACTGCTAGTGCGAAAAAGTTACGCTCGAGATAAGATATACCTAAAATGTGCCACACCACGAGCGCCCCCTTTAACGTATCACCACGTGGTTCGTACATGCACCTTTGATTATCTCGAGAGATAACCTAATCGTAAAATCAGTCACGTAATCAAAAGCCCGACTCTGTTGTTTCTTCGACACCTTTGCATGCTTTCCTCAGTTTTTCATGTTAGTTGAAGCCCCGTTGTATAGACCTGTAGCTCTCAAGTATCGAACAGCACCCCTGGGCGCGAAGAGAGCGAATATTGAAATCGTCTGTACGTAAGACCTGGATAAAGTATAAACAAGAATCTGGATCTAGGCTTCCATGTGAAGTATGTACCACAAAGAGAAGGCCCGAGAAAAAAAAAATGCTCGGACAACGACCGCCTTTCTTGGTTTGAGCCGCCGGATAAACGAGCGCTGACTAAACTCGAATACTCTCGCATCTTCCAAGAGCCGGTTCCAGTAAACGGAAACGAGGTCATTCGGTCCTTGCATCAATTCCGTTTATTACAAACAACCCGCGTCCGCGAAATGGTCCGCATCGTCGAATCTGAACACATAACACGCGGCGCTTCATTCGACGCGTTCGAATGGTTTCTGTTGGAACTGCATCCTTAGCAGCGCAATCAATGTCTAAAAATAGAGCCAGACCTTTAGATGGGATTGAGGTTACCAGAACCGCGAACTACAGAAACCACCCAACAAACTTTTCTTTTTTTTTTTTCTTTTTTTTTTTTTGCGTCTAAGCTGTGACATTGTTTGACTGACCATACTCTAAAAAAATCTAGGGCATATACTATCCCGCGAAGCACGTGAGAGTAGACTTGCGCACGTTACTTAAATAGTGTAACTAACTATCGTTACTGGTTATTTACCTCAAAAAGTAACGTACGCTACTCGTTATTTCCACTCAAAAGAAACGCGCTACCTCAGCTTGAAAGTAAAGCGTTATTTTCCCGTTACTCTGAATGTATCGTTTTATTGAAGCAGTAGCCGTTTCCAATATATGTTGTCGTTAATAATTACTGCTTTTTTTTTTTGGCAGCCTTTATACCTGTCATGTCGAAACCACTTTTCGGAGGTGCATCGCACCCAGGCCTCGCTTCTAGCTCATCAAGAACCACAAAAATGGCGTCTTCATTAAAAAAAAAAAAAAAGAAAAAAAGTTTGCGATCATGTTAGATGGTTACGGTCTCGAGTTCCCCGTACGTATAGACACATTCATGTTACTATTGCGGCATGCCGCGGGACAACAAATGACAACATGTGCCGTAACATGCTCACGCAGAAAATAACAAAATACATTCGTGAGCTCAGTCCATTTAGAGGCACCATCACGAGCTCGTTGCACCCTCTCAAACATTGGCAAATCGCCGACGAGCAGGAAATTCAAAAGAACCGGTTAACGGAAACATCCGTGGTCCTCCGTATGACGTAGCTGTCCACACAAAGCGAGCAAACAATTTGTTTCTTTGTATTATTTCTTTTCTTTTACTACGCCATATTTCACGGAGACTAAACCGACGACGGACGCCAGACAGACGAAAGGAGGAGCCGCATTCGCATAAAAAAGTAAAACATAGCCACGTCTGCGGTATCAGCTGGCCACACTTAGTGTGCTCAAATTTGAGAGTGTCTCCAACTGCTCGAGCGGGCTCATGTGGTTTATGCCGTCAACCATTAAGCTGCAATAGCTCTCATGGTCTGCGCGGTTTGAGTTGCTGTGTAGTCAAACTTTAGAGAGCCTAGACAAGGGAGCAACTCATGGAAAGCGTTAGAAACGTAATGGCGAACGGACCATGGACACATTGGTCGCAAGCAGAGGTGGCGGTGATATATTGACTGTAGTGAAATGAGAGTAATTTAGTTACTTTGTAAAATGAGCAATGTCATTCATTATTTCTGGGCGTAGGTAGTTTATTAATGTAGGGAATTAGCTTAGGCTACCTTAAATTGATATGAAAATAATGAATGTATATTCGTGGGCATCAAAAAAATTCCACCGGAATTATTTTAAAAAAAAAACAGCTTAGCCACAACTAGAAAAAAATATTAATAAGAAAAAAGGCAATAAGTGCCTCAAGCCCACGTCTCGAAGAAAGAACATAGGTGGCTGGAAGCGTGACATGACTAAAGCACTCAGAAACGCATTGGTATTAATTAAAAAAAAAGTAAGGAAAACAATCGAAACGGAAGCAGGAATTCGGAAGGGTAACCTTCGTTCCCGAAACACCGATGGGGCTTTTGTTTCTTGAGGTTGGTCTACCAAAGAATTGCAATAAGCTGCACATTCTCCTCACACAATAGGATCCGCAGTTCAAGAGGGGGTCGCGAAATGCAGGATCGAGGTTACGGATAAAAGGTTTAATAGAAAATAGATCATAGAAGGCAAACATTTTTTTTTTAGTAGCAAACTGGTCATCTGCTGTTCTTCTAATTTTTGTTTTGTTTAGAGGGGCATCCTGCAAGACAGGAAACGAACCAGGCAAACACATCTATTTCACCCGCCCAACACAACCAGACACACGAGGAAGTGAATCACCTATATTTGTTGAGTCACCCCGAAAACTGACTGCCAGGACCTCTCGCCTCTAGAAACTTCGAGCCTGTAGGGGCAGACTCCAAAGAGCCGCTTATGTATATTAAAGTGCTAATAAAATAAATTTTATAAAATTGGCCGCAAAAAAAAGTATTAAGCGATTTCATATAAAGACACAATAAAGTAATTCGAAAGTAATTTCTCTACTTTTCGGGGCGCCATTTGTAATTTTAACTAATTTACTTTCTTGTCGCGGTAATCTGGGATGTAATTCAATTACATTGCATCATCCAGGCGAACAGTTTTCCAGAGGACCACCGCTTTCGTCACCTCCTCGCAGCTCGTGCTGCAAACGTGGCCCATAAACCACGTGACCACGATCGCGCAGTTGGAAACACTCTAAACTCTAGGCGCACAAGCAAAACCAAAAGACAGCAGCGCCGCCGAGCGCACCCGTGGTCCCGTGGTAAACTCGCGCCCTCGCGCGTCCGCCATCTTGTTTTTTTTGTTTCCTTTTCTATTTTCGTCAAGTAAGCAGTCACCAGCGGCGAACACGGGACGCATTCAGTCGCCGGAGTCGGGAGGCACGTACGGCGACGTCGAGCCGCGCTCTTTCTCTCCGGGATACACGAACGAAAACGGATAACCGCGGAGCACGGATGATAAGCCGGACGACGCTGTCACCACCAGCACCACCCGTGCGTGCCGCCCGTGTCTACGATCACCACACCGCGCGGTGCCGACCGTGTGATGAACTCGACTCTGGACGTGCTTCGCCCATCGCCGTTTCCCCTGGCTTTCCCGTCGACGAGGATGACGTCGTTCTGACAGATAGGTGGGCAACACTAGCCGCGCTGCTATAATTTTCTTTTTACTTTTTTTTTTCTTGTATAGCTTTTTACTGAGAAAGGCGTTAACGGATTCATTCGTTTATTTATATTTTACTACAGGCACCCACGGATGTGGGCAACTTCGGTCATAGATTATCCGACTGATCGGAAATATCGTGCCTTCTAGCGTGTTGTTCCCTGCAGAGATCAGTGTCTAAAAAGAGTATTATTCTTCTTCTTTGTGACCATCGCGATTGGATTGTTATACCAGGAAGAAACTTCGCCTGAGAAGGTGTCTGTCTGTTGTCTTGTCGCATTGGTCGTACAGAAACCGTCTGGACACATACCCGAACCGTATAGAAATGTATGAAGCAAACATGCCTGGGACATTCTTGAGCCGCTTGAACAGATCATTCTGTTGCGATGTCTGCAGTGAACATCGGGTCTCCTGTACAATGCAGGGACAGTGTTGACTGGAGTCTTAAATATTCCGATTTCTTTCTTGGGCAAGCGAGTAAAAGCAACCTGTACCGTGAGCCAAGACACTTCACATCGGCATATCGTGCTCAGAGCCAAACTTTGTTTCTAAAGAATAAGTTGTCCGTAAAATTTCCGGTGTAAACCGAAGAAAAAAAAAAACAATAAAAATTCTTCGGTGTCAAAACGTAGGAAATCGGTTATAAAACCGAAAAACACCGATACACGTCTGCCCGTGTAAAAAAGGCAAAAGCAGGTAAAAATAAAAGACACCGATTTCTGGACATTTTTGCTCCCGCAAGGTCCATTTTTGTCGAAAGCCTCCCATCTTATATTTCAAGTCTTAGTATTTCATTATATTTTTGACCGGTAATCACTGCTCCTGTTCCTTTTTTTTTTTTTTTTTGCGTTCGTCCGAAACAGTTTACTGAAGTGCACCGATATCTAAAAAAAAAAAAAATTAACACGATAAACACCCAACATTTCTTTCGATAAATAGATACCGGAAACATGATGCCCTTACAATAAGCAGTACAATCTATCGAGTGAAAGCATCCCTTTTAATATTTAGATACCTGGCTTCACTCTGCGAGACTTTTACTAAACCACCCCACGTCTAGACGAGACTGATGTCGCTCGACAGTATTTCTCCCTCCTCCAGCTAATGAATCTGACTTCTATAGACGCTCTAAACACGTGCCAGATTACATCCGCCATTGCTGAGCTTCTCTTGTCATTCCGAGATGCCGAGCCACCGAAACGAGCGTTTACGAGTTTCCACAATAATATGACAATTAACTGTCCTGCTGCAGTAATCATGAAGTAAAATAGACGAAAGAAAAGGCAACAAAAAACTGAAGGTCGGGTATGGCGGCGCCCATGCACAGCTGATTAAGAGCGTCTATAAATGCTTCCGTGACAATTGAAGTCTAGTGGATTTGGAGCAATCCCAACATCGCTCCACGCACGCACTTTGAGAGGGCAGGAAAAGGATCATGTTAACATTAAGAGGCACTCTGAAACCACTTCACATCCACAGGCAGATTTAGCCATCAATTCGTACCCTTATTACTCCAATTCAACTCGATCTGTATTTGGTGAAATTAAACGCTCGGTGCCACACATACTCTGACACCGGAAACTTCAGTTGGAGGAATAAATGAAATGTATGACACGCGTATCACAATGATGAGGTTCGTGCATACTGAGCAATGCGCAAGTGTTGCAAAATCCGTCTTTGACGCAACGGGAGGCGAGAGCCCTCCTCACGTTCCGATGCCAACGCCAATGATAAAATCGTAATTGTGTTGTGTGTATGTTTCTGCAACCGGAAGTTAGTCACGCCCAGTGAGCGTGACTAAGTTGGTGTCTAAGCCAATGAAAGGGAAACGTACAAAACTCGCTGTAAGCGCCCTTATTGGTTGAGGTCGGGGGAAAACAGGAGCACAAAAACTTATTCGAATGGCAAAAAAAAAAAAAAAAAAAAGAGCGGCCGAGGTTTGCAAGGAGCCGTCAAACTTCCACGCCGAATACTCTTACACATCAACGCCATATATCAAAAATGGCAAATGAGAACTTCTCCTTTCTCTACATGCGGTTAAAACCATTTACATAGCGATGTAGTTGGCACATCGTGCGAGCCTGCCACATCGTCACCAACGCCTATCGCAGCAGTACAATGTTCAGACGGACTTCGATCCCGAATAGTCATCGTGACAACTCACAACAACAAGCGATATTCACTCTATCGTGGGAAAACAAGATCACAATCACTAGAAGACACCCTTTTAGGGCCCTATATACTACACGAAGGGACCGAGGAACTGGGACAAGGCCGACTGCTGTGATTGGTCATCAGCTCGGCGCTGACCAATAGCAGAATAAAGTAGAAGTTTGGGCTAGTTGGTATTTCATGATTAAAGATTAAAACAGCGCAAGGACACGGACAAGAACAAGAAGGTAGACAAACAAGGCGCTGACTTACAGCTGAAGCTTATTCGTTCTAACATCGAGTATAAATACTGTATTGTCACAACAAACAAACATGAATAAAAAGCTTGACCTGGATGCCATGTGCTCACTAGCCATCGCTATGCACTGTCACTGTTTGTCTAAATAGGAGCGTTCCTTATCTGATAAAGATAGTGACGGAATGCTGACACAGTTTTGCCCCAATCTTCCAATTTCCCGCGACTCAATGATTTCCCGAGTGAGTTTGTCTTTATTTTTCCTAATCACTTCACATTTGTCAAAGACGGGAGCGCAGCAACAGTCTCGGCAGTGCAGGCCAAGGTGACCTGACACAACTCTAAACACGTTATACTTGTGTTCCCGCAGCCGATCATTGAGGCATCGCCCCGTTTGCCCGACGTATCTCCTGCCACACGAGAGGGGAATAGAGTACACTACCCCCTCCACACAGTCTACGAATTGGTCATGGTGTTTTTTGGTGCAACCCTGCTTTTCTTTAGGACAGGAGTTCACTTTTCTGCACAGCCCAGATAGCTTCTCTGGAGCCGAAAAAACCACATCAACTCCAACCCTACGGCCAACTTTCTTAAGATTGTGAGATATCACAACTGTTTTACCATACCTCCATAAGATATCTCACAATCTTAAGAAAGTTGGCCGTAGGGTTGGAGTTGATGTGGTTTTTTCGGCTCCAGAGAAGCTATCTGGGCTGTGCAGAAAAGTGAACTCCTGTCCTAAAGAAAAGCAGGGTTGCACCAAAAAACACCATGACCAATTCGTAGACTGTGTGGAGGGGGTAGTGTACTCTATTCCCCTCTCGTGTGGCAGGAGATACGTCGGGCAAACGGGGCGATGCCTCAATGATCGGCTGCGGGAACACAAGTATAACGTGTTTAGAGTTGTGTCAGGTCACCTTGGCCTGCACTGCCGAGACTGTTGCTGCGCTCCCGTCTTTGACAAATGTGAAGTGATTAGGAAAATTAAAGACAAACTCACTCGGGAAATCATTGAGGCGCGGGAAATTGGAAGATTGGGGCAAAACTGTGCCAGCATTCCGTCACTATCTTTATCAGATAAGGAACGCTCCTATTTAGACAAACAGTGACAGTGCATAGCGATGGCTAGTGAGCACATGGCATCCAGGTCAAGCTTTTTATTCATGTTTGTTTGTTGTGACAATACAGTATTTATACTAGCTGTTAGAACGAATAAACTTCAGCTGTAAGTCAGCGCCTTGTTTGTCTACCTTCTTGTTCTTGTCCGTGTCCTTGCGCTGTTTTCATCTTTAATCAATAGCAGAAGACGGCATTGTCCCGGTCCCCTGGTCCCGCCGTGTATAATAGGGCCCCCGGTCATATAACGAAGCTTGGCTGACGCGATCAGCACTACGCGTCATAAAAATATACGTCGAGTGGAATCAAGCTGTATCTCAAAGCGGTTTCGATTACACATGCACACGCCCTGGAGATGGTACACCCGCCGGAAATATGAAGGTGAACACCTTACCTGGTTTCTTGCCTGTTTTACGGCTCCCGGAAGCTATATTAACTCTCAACGTCTCAAATGGTACGTGGCTAGGGAGTCTAAACTTTGCGTTCTAGCCCTCTTCTGGAACAGAGCTTGTTCCAAAACTTGCAGGAGCGTCCAAAACAAGAAAAGGGCTGTTTACCTTCATATCGCTCACGGGTGTACTCTACCTCTACCTAGCTAATATACACGCACACATGCTTTTGACGTAACGGGTGAAAACAGCAGGTAATTCGCTCTTGGGAAAACGAATTTCTGAGCGTACACCCCGGTGTCTGCACGTCCTGCGAGTCAAATCTTTTTACAAACGTTTTATGACCATGGTGGGCAAGGCTAGTTTCTGAAACGCGGGTGCTTTCAAACATATTTGGTCGATTCCAGCTCTGTGTCTATAGGTGTGAAAATCGTTTCTCGTTGTTAAAAAGCTTGGTATATAAAATTCCGACGAGTTTTTTTCTTTCTGTCGAAAGAGTTACCGACGCGGACCGCGAAGCAGAGAGACGTCGGTGTGAAAGTGAAAGCGACTGCAGCAACAAACAGTCGCTCCCAACAGCCACGATCCGTCCAAGCAGACAGGCGCTCAGTCACGCCAAACATGACAGCTTCTCTGGAAACTACGTACAGAGCTTGCGGCCTGCACTTATCTGAAACACATGACGGGTTGAGAAGAGACGCTACGACATGGCCAATCTTAGCTCTTCTCAATGAACACCGAGGCTTAGATTTAAGACAAGGAGAAACGAAACTAAAAAAAAAAAAAAAGTAGAAGGGGAAAAAAAAAGAGTTCGCGGGGAGGGTTCTTGGAAAAAGATTGCTTCAGGCAGAGATTAGGGTCTTCGTCGTTCGCGACCGAAATCTGAAACCTCGAGGCTTGGTCGAGCCAAAAACGACCGAGGCAGCTGTAAAAGCGAAACCGAAAACTCTTTGCCACGGACTCTTGCGGCGGGGCTTCCGCGTTCGGAAAATTGGGGAGTGCCTTTGAAGACCCTCCCATTGAAAGCGAGTTGCCGTTTGGGTGCTTTAGCCGCCG